TACGCAGCAAACTTTTAAATCAAACAAACATAATGATACACTGACATTTTAGTTTTGTGTCGTCTTTCTTTCCGCGCTTTATGTTCTGGTGTGTAATGGTTATGGTCTTGCCTCCAGGTCCGCGTCATGGATTTTTTTTTTTTTAAGTGTCTTTGACGATTGAAAGCTCTGAGACCGATGGGACAGCATGTGGTAACCTTTAATCTTTTCAAGATAGCTTTATTTAATTAATTTATGAACTTGTTCATTCATTTAACTTATTCACATTTCTTCGCCTCTTCTCATAAGCTTTATGACCTATTTCGTTTTGGTATTATAGCCCTCATATGCATACTTTTCACCTCATTACGTACTTCTTAGTGTTATGTTGACCTTGGTTTTCTATCAGCTGTGGTGTCTTGCCCGTTGAGTTTTCTAGTCATAGTTTGTGCTGTATTTAGTATTCCGTTGATAAAGACTTTGGTAGAAACGTTCAGTTGTGCTTGTGTGTGTCTTTTCCATTCCCTTCGCTGAGCTTTCTAGTCACATTTTGTGTTATATTTAGCTTTCTTCAGCTCCATTGCAGTCGCCCCTATTTAGTTATGATCTCGTAAACAGCATTCTGGCATACATAGATGGCGCTGTCTTGTTTGCAGCATGTGCTGGTTTGGATGACTGATTATGAGTGTCTCTCTATGATAGCTTTTTAATTAGTTAAACTGGACTATATCTAGCCTGTTCAGTTCAATGGAGGGTTGCTGCCTCACCTCGAAGTTAACAAAAGCTTCCTATAACGATATTGAATGTGTCTCTTTGTTGCAATTAGGGCTTGTATTGTAGATTCACCTGTTTTCTTTTTTAATATCTTCTTTACCAAAACCGTCAGTGACCATATGTATCCATTTATATAGATGTTTTCATGTTGTATCAAAGTTTTTCTTGCAAAATAATGTACACCTTTTCTTGGTATTTTTTTCTTTCTCTTAAAACCTTTTTAAATTACGTAAGAGATTTGTACTGCTTTCTACGAAATCCAAACGGTAAAAAGAAATCGAATGTGTTGGGCAAAAAGGAGCAGATATCACAGCCTAGCTGTAACCACAACACAATGTGCCCACTATCCTTGTAAGGGTAAACACAGAAGAAGGAGAAGAAGAATGATTTATTTTCCTTAAGACACTGGTCTAGGTTTCAGACAAAGACCAGGATTTGTCCCCTCCAGTATGCCCTGAGGTCGATACAGCCTTATATAAATGAGTACCAGAGCTGTTGCTGGATAAAGACACTAAACCATCAATCTTAGCATGAAAACATAAATATTAGCACCAATAAACCAGACTACAAATATAACCGAATGCTGCTAACATTGACTTTTATGATTGACTTTTATAGTTTTTCGTCCAGTAAGAATTATAATCTCTTGCTGATGTGTCTGCAAATTGTCTGGAAAGAAAGTCGATACGGAAAGGAACTGGTCACCCCTTTCATATGTCATGGTCTAGTATGTGTGAAGGCTAAAACACCTCAATTGCAGTATTTGTTGTAGTGCTAAATTACCTGTATTTTCTTCAGCATCATATGTCCACCGTTTTAAACATGACATTTGTTGACATATATGATTTTTGTGCTCTTTTCTTAATGATTTGGTTGCACTGTGAACAACCTGTAACCGTTAATGCACACGAATTCAAGTAGGCTGTTAAAAAAAAAAATGCTACACAACAGCAATAACAGGTGTATGGATTGTAAGGGCTAACAGGTAAAGCACAAACAAAGACCATTATACCTGCTGTAGGCTATAAGATATTTGTTTATAATTACGTATTATATTTCTTCTTGTCAAGTGTTTTTTGGGGGTGGGGGGAGGGTCTCAAGGTGGTCTCAAGGCATGGCGTCCCCCTTGAGGTTTCGGGTTCAAGCCCCGGTGAAGACTGGGATTTTTTCATGTGCATTTCTAGTAATTTTCCTTGGTCTCTGAGTAGTAAGATCGAACGCCCGTGTGTATTGTTGCGCATGTAAAAATAGCTTAGAAGCAGGAAATCGAAAAAGAGCAGCCTAACGGCGCTAAAAACGGAGTTAAAAATCTACCCAAAGTATTTCAGGATCTTTGCTGGTGCTACGGAGTTTGTGCACTGGGCTTAGATTTGTCAAACTCAGGCTTGATCCAGAAGTAGAACGGAGCATTTATGGGTTACTACCAGTGTGCCATGATGTTGATCCGCCGTCTAAACCTAAACGTTTAGCCCATACTGTGAACTTTGTGTGAGTTTCACAAGTTCGATTATGCTTCTTTTGCGCGTGTGATTGACGCGTATTCCTGAAAGGCCAGCATGCTCCATTGTAGATAAGCCTTCATGTTTTTGTACTGGCTCCCCAGTATGGCTATCCAGTTTTTGTTTACAATTCATCGAGTCTTTGTGTGCTCTTTGTCCGGAATTTGGCTTCAGGGTAAGCCTGGTGGCTAGTGTAATTAAAAGAAAATAAATATATTTGTTTGAAAAAAAAAAAAAAAATAACGTGGGTATATCTAAGATATTGGTTGGTTTTCTACCAAGAAGAATACTTTTTCATTTTGTATATTAGAGAAAATATATTGTTCCAGAGAGTTTTGTTTGTTCTAAGTTTTGGTTGACATGAATTAGCTACCGTATAACAACAACAGTCAGTGCTTTTTTTTTTCTCTCTGCTAAAACAGAAATGTGTAGGGCGTAACTAAACCTGGCATTCTATATTGTGCCAGTGACTTCAGACAGAGAAGTGTATTGAGGATGGTGCTAGCTTACTTATGCTAGAATAAGGAAATGCAATCTGGAAACACTTTTCTATGGTCGGCAATTGGTTCATGACAAAACTACTCTTCTGTTCAGGCAGCTTCTGCAGCAGGCTTTGTTCGAAACGTATGAGCTCACCTTTCCTCTGAAGTTTAAGAAAAAAAAAGGTGCTTTATTGATATGATATCCTACCCCAGACAGGGGAATACAGGTCACGTGACAGTCTAATATTGCAGGGGGTGATAGATAGGCTGCATGCAGTTTTGGAACCTAGGCTGAATTCTCTTATGGGACATAGGGAGGTTGGGGTTAGGACCAGTTCTCGATGTTTTGGGGTCGTTAAAACCACTAGAAAGCCGGGAAACCCAGTCTTACCACATTCTGAAATGTTGGACTGTCATGTGACGTCATCTGGGGTAATACATTATAAAAGAACCCAGAAAAAAAAAAAAAAAAAAAAAACCAGGCTGTGCAAAGGATTGGGGTGCAAGAGCAACACTTGACTGTGATATAGCACTATCGTTGCGAAAAATGAAAACGTGTCATACAAGTTTCAGACCCCACTCGGTTTTCGTCTGTAACATAGCAAAAAGAACGATTGCTACATGCTTACACTACTCGCGCAGACACTGTAACGTGTGGAAGCTACCAGTTCCTAGCAGGGTCGTCTTAACAGCATTATGGGCTCCTGGCAAACCATTGTGTTGAGGCCCCTATGACAACCACTCACAGAAAGGAAATGTAAGTGGTCGATAGTATTAATTTTACTGGCACTTCAACACAACTGGTGTTCAAACTTAAACATGGATTAGATAGCACCTTGTGAAATTACTACGAACCTTTTGTTATAACTATCAATTGCGGCATTTCTGTTCACATAATTGCTTTGTTTTTTGCTTGAAGTCAGTGGTCTTCAGGGCATTTTCCTAGCACTTGAGTAAAAGCCAGTTCAAAAGATGCGGTCCCATTGTGCTACCGAGCACATTTTATGTTTCAGTCTTGAAAAAGAAATCAAAAAAAAAAAAAAAAAAGTCCTCCCGCAACAATAGTACAAAGAATATGTTGTCTCATAATTCAGTAAATTCCTCACAAATATTGGCAGAAAAAAATGACATTCTCCGTTCAACAATTTCCAAAAATTTTGAGAGGGTCAAATTCCTTCTGCAACTCTAACATACCTAAATAGATGCCATTGTTTGCTGACCCAGCAATCAGATTTGTTTGAGAAAGGGCAGACCTCTATAGACAAGAAAGTGAATTATAGAAATCACAGGTCTCAACACTTCATGTCAATATTCCTACTCTGAGCGATGTAGCTTAATCAACAAAGAATACGAACTCCAAGTCTCTTTATGCTTTTATCCAGTATGCTGTCATGCACTTTGAGTATTCTTCATTTTTGTGTTCTAGAATAATCTTGCCGTGCTTCCTGTCAATGAATCCGGATGTAGCAAACGGAGATTCCCTCTTTCAATAGTCGACACACAATGCATTCATTGTAATGGTGAATAAGGTAATCGTTCATGTTTTACAAACTCGCCACTCTGCGGGTCACGATTAATTAAACACCTTCTTAAATATCTTGTCGTCGTATTGTAAACCCCAGCTGTTTTATACACTTTGTGTTAGTCTGAAAAGTTATTATGATTCTGACAGACAGACACACACGCACACACACACACACACTAGAGAGAGAGAGAGAGAGAGAGAGAGAGAGAGAGAGAGAGTTATAATTTCGGTTTTGTGTTACACATAATTAATTTCAACTTCATACAAACTTTTTTGTATGGAAAGTCACTTTACATGTACAGATTAGCATTGAGCCCTGTGATCACGGGGTCCCCAGGCAAGTACTTAGTGGGCCCATGCGTTAAGACGGCTCATGTTCCAAGTACTGTAATGTTAGTTGTGCACGCATATTTTTAACAGCGAAGCGACCAGGAGGAAAGTGCCTTTGTCTCTCCACGGCCTACTCTGGAACTGGTCGTAGTCTCTCTTATGTACCCCACGCAGGACTCAGGCTGCTGTGATATCACAATTCGTTAAATAAAAACATAAAATAAAATAAAAAATGTAAACAAAAACTTCAAAAAAAAAAAAAAAAAATTGTATAATATCAATTTATTTACAAAGGATAAAACAGACGATAATTTCAGAAAATAATTATGGTGTCTGCAGTGATGACGAACGAAAATGAAAGTAAAAAAAGTAAGTTTCCAATCTGCCCTATTAAAGAGTTCCACTTTCATTTTACCTAATAAATTTTCCAGTATCATTACAACTGTGAGTTATAATATTTGCCCACAACTGAGCTATCAGACTTGGACTTTTAACTTCTGGAAGAGCAACATTCTGGTTCCAAACCACCTCACAGTCGAATATATCCCGACAGCAAACGGTAAAACTGCGCGCCGTGATGCGTGAGACGCCAGCAACCTTTGGCAATATCCCGGTAATGAATGCATCTTCAGGTGATATCAAAGGCACATACGGCGCAGTATCAGTAATATCAACCACTGCTTTTTGGCTCAGCACGTACGTATGTCCGTAAAGATAATGCGGGTAAAAGTCTAAGGGATATTCCTCGGGGCTGACGGCCCACTTGCCACCTCGAACAACAAAGGGCTTTTGAAACGTATGTTCGAGACCCATTACAAAACTGTCGTTGTGTATTTGAGTCTGTGCTTTGTGTAGGACTTCCATCATTAGAGGGGCATTGATGAATGTGTCTTGGTCAGTTTTCAGCACGAACTGTGCCCCTGGACAGTATTTTCGAGCCCAGTTGAGTCCACTTAGAACTTTTCTGGAAAGGTTTCTGTAGGTATCGTCAAAATCCGCCATGACAATGTCTCCGACAATGTTCGATTCATGCAGAAGTTGTTCATAATCTTCTTCCCGACGACTTGCTTGACGACCGAATAAAAATATATGTTTGATGTGATCTCGTATGAAAGCTCTAGGCCAGGAATTGGTCTCTGCTGCTCTCAACCATGTCCACCTTATCGCGTCTCTTTCTTCTATGTCATCCGCCACTGAAGGAATAATAAAGAGCACAAATGGATGCCTTCCTTTACACACATTTTCTGCCTTTATGAGATAATTTTCCTTTAACATATTCTTTACTGTTTTAGTCCTGGTAAACACACTTAAGTTAGCCGCCAGGTAGTCATCGTCTGGAACGTTCTTAAACCATTCTTCACCATATTTACTGATATTCTGAATTAGTATTTCCGATGAGAAAAACACATATTTACTGTTATTATGAATTCCAGCACGGCTTAGATATTCGTAATTTTTTAACCACTGTTGTTCGTTATTAATATCGAGCTTAGCTGTGGCATTATCTACCGTCATGGCTAATAAAAAGTTGTTGGCGCTGATGGCACCTGCGCACTGACTTGTTTGAAGATTAAGAAGTCCTAAGGATGTTATAGTTGCAACGATGGCCACCAAACTGAGGAACCGCCATGCGGAATTGTATCGCAGCATGGGTAGCTTCATGGCTGACTGAATTTAAATCTGGTGATAAAAAACAAACACAAGTTAACAATATAATAACTTTCAATTCCAGATTAAACATCACACACACACACATTTTCTCCATAAATAATCCAAAGAGAAGAAGCAACTACTAGCCATGTGTTTTGTAAGTTAAAAAAAGTAAGGTGCTCTTTTTCACGCCTTAATGCTACTGGGCATATAGGGCTAGATCTATATTTTATAGACCAATCAGTAATGGGTAGGTGATATGGTCAGCATCAAGTCGGTCGCCGTTAATTTTTAGGAGTTTTGTGGTACCTATTAATGGCTGGCTAGTCCTGGGAGGCAAGCCGGCTCCTTCAGGGTCTCGAATCACGACCTTCCGATACGGAGGCGAAGTGAGAGATGCATCTTCCCTAGATTCTTTCGCTATTTAAAAAAAAAATAGTATCTCAATACGGATTGCATGCTCCCTTAGAAGATATAAGTATATTAAGTTTATGTATGTGGCATAGTTCTCTTCAATTTGTATAGTTATACTGAGAAGATAATTATTTATAAATGAAAAAGTAAGTCGAAAACATCCCATCGTTGGTAACTAATACTTAGTTGTCGAGGATGTTTAATATAACTAACACACACACACACACACACACACACACAGAGATATACACAAAATGTAAGTGCCCGGGGATAGTAAAAGACAGCTTAATTGTCAACCTTGTCTCCCCCGCTTGTAAAAAATGCAGTAGAAACGCCAGAAGAAGCGAGCGCAACATGAGCATTGCTTCTTTAAATTTGTTTTAGACGCCCTCGTTTTACTAAATCCGTCAATGTCCCATTTCAGTACATGTCTGGTGATTCTCTGAAGTTTCTGCGGCAAATACATTTTTTTTTATGGTTGGGTGCTGGCCCCTGAGCTATCGCCCGAGGTTAATAAGTGGTAGGAGAATCTTAGACCAGTTCTTTACCTAGTTAGCTCTACCGCCACTCTAACGCCCCTATGGAGTGATGGCGCCGTGACTCAGGGCATGACTGGAGATTAAAATTCGGCATGCTGGCAGTCACCCTACCTTACCGATAAAGCAACAACCTCCTCTAATCCCTCGATTTTGGAGTCTACGTTTGAAGGAAAAAAACAATGAAATGTTGGAAATAACAAAAAAAAAACAAAAAAAAAAAATGTAACAAGAAATACATGTTTAAAAGAACATAATTCCAGAGAAAAATTTACTTTTACTTATTTTAGTAATAAAAAAAAGCAATGCTCAGGAACCTGGCCGTCAGTATGACTGTCAGGTGGGTATTGGTCACTGTTTGGGAGGCGTTAGCGGATCATTTACGTTAAACACACATACTACAGAAAAAGTTTTTGATGTATAATACATGTCTGTGTGTCTGTCTGTCTGTCTGTCTGTCTGTCTGTCTGTCTGTCTGTCTGTCTGTCTGTCTGTCTGTCTGTCTGTCTGTCTGTCTGTCTGTCTGTCTGTCTGTCTGTCTGTCTGTCTGTCTGTCTGTCTGTCTGTCTGTATGTATGTATGTATGTATGTATGTATGTATGTATGTATGTATGTATGTATGTATGTATGTATGTATGTATGTATGTATGTATGTATGTATGTATGTATGTATGTATGTATGTATGTATGTATGTATGTATGTATGTATGTATGTATGTATGTATGTATGTATGTATGTATGTATGTATGTATGTATGTATGTATGTATGTATGTATGTATGTATGTATGTATGTATGTATGTATGTATGTATGTATGTATGTATGTATGTATGTATGTATGTATGTATGTATGTATGTATGTATGTATGTATGTATGTATGTATGTATGTATGTATGTATGTATGTATGTATGTATGTATGTATGTATGTATGTATGTATGTATGTATGTATGTATGTATGTATGTATGTATGTATGTATGTATGTATGTATGTATGTATGTATGTATGTATGTATGTATGTATGTATGTATGTATGTATGTATGTATGTATGTATGTATGTATGTATGTATGTATGTATGTATGTATGTATGTATGTATGTATGTATGTATGTATGTATGTATGTATGTATGTATGTATGTATATGTATGTATGTATGTATGTATGTATGTATGTATGTATGTATGTATGTATGTATGTATGTATGTATGTATGTATGTATGTATGTATGTATGTATGTATGTATGTATGTATGTATGTATGTATGTATGTATGTATGTATGTATGTATGTATGTATGTATGTATGTATGTATGTATGTATGTATGTATGTATGTGTGTATGTATGTTTGTACGTACGTACTGTGTACATGTGTGTATATGTGTGTGTGCGTGCGTGCATGCGTGTGTGTGTGTTTGTGTGTTTGTTAATATTTTTATACGTTTATATTTACTCTAAATCACAAACCATTTCGGTGTTTTGTGTGTTCACTGTAAACGAACTTTTAACTCCATATATACCTACTAAAATATAATCCGACCCAATATGGGACCCAACTGCTTTTTTAAAAGCCCTACCCGGCTGTCGTCCTGGGCTTTAAATATAAACTATGGGTAAAACCAGGTTTCTGTGACTGGCGCCCGAGTGATTCTCATCTGATTGTTGGCGCTTTGTGTCACTGGGTGTTTATCGCTCGTCATGACTGGGTTGAACATCAGTCACACACACACACACACATTTTATATATATATATATATATATATATATATATATATATATATATATATATATATATATATATATATATATATATAATGTGTCTGTGTGTGTCACTACGGTGATAAGTGCGTCATAGATAAAAAAACCAATTTGTACCAGGGTCGTTTTTGCGATCCATATCGATCACACAGCTCTCGCTCGCTCAACCGCCCGAACAGCCACGTGTGTCTCTCGTTCGCTCGCTAACTATCCATTTGCAGCCTGATTATCGATAGCTAGATACTGGTCAATACTCGCTTGATTTTCGGCTGAGTTTGGCTCGACTACGCTATCGGTGTCGTCTGCGGTTGGGTTATAGTAGCCCGGGAGCACATCATTGTTGAAGAGCCAGTCGTACCAGCCATTTGTGAAACGATTGTCTCGTTAACTGCAGAGAAAAGCACGCTCGGTGTCCTTTTCAGAACACTTAACGAGCCTTGCCAGACTCTGCAGGAATCGAGCTTTCGATTGCCGCCTGATTAGCACCAGTCTCAGCCTAAATCAACCATGGCCCATGGCAAATCCAGCCAGAAGCCGTGCCAGCGCCGAAACACCAGATCGACGCCGGATAACCAGGAGGAAGTACCTGTCGTCGCACCAGCCCTTACGGTGCAGACGATGCCAGAAACTACCGACGCTCCTGTGGAGGACGCCAGCCTCGCCCACCCGAGCGATACCAACTATAGAGGAAGCACCTATCGAGGCACCAGCAGCAGTCCAGACACCACCAGTCACTGTCGCAGCCACAGCAGAACCAATAAGAACCGCCGGCACCCGCCACCGACAGCAAAATGGATCCTTCCACTCAGGAATCACGCAGTGCTCCCGATGCAACAGGGCGTGGCATACCGCCGCGACCTGCCACAGCAGCCCAATTTGCAGGTACTGCGCCGGCCCGCATGATTTCAAAAAGTGTCCCTGGCAAAAGTGGATCCAGACTTCAGGATACCCAATGCAAGTAGGAAGTGCTCTAACTGCTCAGGGGGACACAGTGCCAGGTACCAGGGCTGCCCGTACCTGAAAGGGATCAAGAGAGTCGGGCCGATTTCCACCACCAGGCCCACTCACAACCAAGAGCCAAGACGAAGATTCCAGGCGCCTAGCTCGACAGTCGCACCACCCGCAACCAACAAGGAGATTACGCTTTTGAGGGACGAAATCAAAACCCTCAGGAAAAAAAACACAAAGATCAAGGTATTAAGGATCCAGGATAGAGACGAAATGAACGACCTGAGAAGTATCATACAGTCGTCCCTAGAAATCCAACGAAGACTGGAGAAAGAAAATGTCGAGATGATGGCATTCAAGACAGAATTGATGGCGATGCTCACTGAACTAAAAAAGATCAAGGTAGCAGACGCCGAATCCGCCAAAGAGATCCAAAGAAGCCATACAAATCTACTATCTGATGTCGCCGATGCCAAGAAAGAAGCGATATAAACAAAAGCAGAGCTAGCCAAGGCAAAGGAAGAATTTACCAAACTGAGTGCCGCACTGCAAGCCACCAATGAAGTGATGGACGCCAGAGAAAGCGCAAGGAAAGAAGCGGAACGAAAAAGGCAATCAGTCCAAAACCCCAAAAAAGCACAGAAAGCAAAAACAGCCGCCGCAGAAATAACAGAAGAAGACTTCGAAGCAATGCTGGAGGCAGACAGAAAAGCAAAAGAAGAGTCAGATAAAATAGACGCAGAACTAGCCAAATACGCGGGAACGTACGAAGACAAATTGGCTAGAGATGCGCTCGAGAAACTAACCCACGCCCACCAGACCAGCCACCATGACAGTTGAACCAGCCAACCACCCAGCCTGGAAAACATCCCACAGCTCGCTACCAGCCAGGCATGATGTCAACCGCCGAACCAAATCCCTCCCACCCGTTCGAGGCCGCCCCGGCAAACTTTACTAGTCCTTCTCAGGACTAGTAAACTTCCACTCCCAATCACGGCCAACATCGCAGAAACACGCAAGGAAACCACTTCTAGACGTAGTTCGTCGCAATTGAAAAAAAAAAAAAAAAAAACTATTGGAAACCCCAAACAATTAAACGCAGTCCCAAAATAACCGCCGCTCACTATTGGAGCTGGTTAGGGTGACTAGAACTTTTATTTTTTTCAAACAAACTGGAACTGGAAGTTGTACCGGAAGAAAAAAACACAATAGGCAGAGAAAACATAGCGTTCAGATAATTTTCATAGAATAAATAACGCAGTGATGAATATGTAATAGATAAACAAAACAAAAAACAAAAAAGTTTTACTGGGAGAAAGAACACAATATGCAGAGAAAACATAGCCTGTAAGTAA